GTAGCTCTGCCAATCTTGGTGATAGGTTGGCTGCTAACACAGAATATCGCAAGAAATGCGCCGACATGGTTTCATTTTTATTTCTGTCGTACCTGTCCTGATATAGTGATATACGCACTTGAGACTGTACTTGCGGATTCCATAATAGCTCCGTAATGGATTGCTTAAAGTGGTTATAGTCAGCCAAGTCCTTGTATACTGCCGTAAACCATTGTTTTGCATAGTTATCCGTAACAGCCTTGACTGCTATAGGCAATTTCAAACGTTCTGGTACCCCCTTCAACGAATAGTAGTCATCAAGTTCCGCGAGAAACTGCAAAATATTCTGCCGATTACTGTCATGAAATTTTGGTAGAACTAGATCGTTTAAGACACTACTGCTGCAGTGTGCTGCGGTTAGTCCAGCCAACTCATGGATGAGCGTCAGATCACCCCCACTACTACATGTAAATGGCACAGTAGGTCCCTCATTTGGGCACCGCTGAACCTCGCACACTCTCTCACGCCCTCCCGGTTCGTGTCCAGAGCCAAGCGTTTGTAACGGGGTTGGCACACCTCGTTCCGTGCACCCCTCCGAGCTAATAAGAGATGGGTGCCCGTTGCCAGATCGGCTATGACACTGCAGTTACTTGTTCCTGAATTTTGTCTATCCTGCTAGAAATTTCTCCTAATTTCAAAACGCTGTCCCTGCTAGCAGCCTTCACTTGATCTTGAACCAGGTTCATATTTTCCTCCGTCACTCCCCCCTTTAGGCTCGAAACTTCCTTATAAATATTTCTCATATTTGTCTCCACTTCAGCCCTGAGTTCCTTTCCTAGCCTTTCGTGATCCGCCTTGGCTTCAGACACTTGCGTTCTCAATTTTGCATTCATACTTTCATTCACTTCGCCTATTTTTTTTATTCACACTCCTAATTTGTTGCTGAGTATCCTCCTCCAGACAGATAACAGCTTGCTTTAATTCATTATTTTCATATGTTATTCTCTTATTAATACTTTCATTTATTTTATTAATCTCGGCCCTGAATTTTTCAGATGACACTTCTGAATTTCTGAAAATACTATCCTGCAGTGTCTCTAAAGTTTCCTTCCTAATCCTTTCATTTTCCTCTTTGTCTCTTTTTCTATTTTCCTGCAAAATCTGTAAAGTTTCCTCCCTGAACCTTTCATTTTCCTTTCTGTTCTCCTGCAAAGCCTGCAATATCATGTTTAATAGATCTGTTTGTTCAACTGTATCTGCAGTTCCCCCCGTTTTGTTACTCAATTCAACTGTACCTACAGTTCTTAAATTTTCGCCCCCTGTTATGTTACGCTCTAATATTTCCTCGGCCTCGACTACTGGATGGTCCACTACTTGTTCGTCTTCAGTAGCCTGTCCGCACGGCCAATCTCCTAGCAAGTCCTCCTCGGTTTCGCCGCACAATGCCTTCTTACTTCGAAGACCCCTGAAAGCCATATTGCCTTTCACCCACCTGAATGCCTGTAGGCTTGCCTGAATAGGGATGTCGTCGAAGGTTGTAGCTCTCGGTTCGACTTCGGTCGTTGTCCCTCGGCCTTGCTGCGAACGGCGTGGAGACTTGTTTAC